TAATTGAGCCACCGAATGCAATAAAAGAAAGAGGGTAGTCTTCTTCTCCATTTTTTTCTTTTAACTCCCTTCTACAATCGCGAAGAGGTGTTATGTCACTGGCAATGACAAGAACGTCGTGGAAAGAGATGAAAAAAAATTGATGAGAAAAGAAGTACGAACTTATCGATGGATTAATTTGATTTATGAAAGAGCGAGAGTGAGAGAGATAAAAGGGAAAGAAATATATTTTCTTGTACTCCAAAAACGAAAGAAACATACGATAAACCGACTTTTATGAGAAACTTATCTGCTGCATGAATCACAATAATACTTATATTAAATATAGAAGACACAATGAATAATATCTATTTAATTAGTAATTAATTTGACTTAATGGTTACATTATAAAACAAAATTTGATCTGTTTTTCTGCAAAGTATAAATAGTTATAATTTCTGATGCATTATACTTTGCGTGCTAATCCGTTGTATCACAAATCCGTTGTACCATACGGAATAAAAAATATGACTTTATTTGACATTATTTTTCTCAAATTTCTGAAATGATATTATCTGCTAAGATATTATTTCCAGTGATATTAAAATTATAGATACTTCATCTTATTAAAAAATAATATCTTTTTTTCCTTTCTCTGAGTATTGCTAGAATTTATGCTTGACGCGGATTATTAAATATCTGTCTCTTACGTGAAGGAAGCTAATAATGTTTGATCTCGCCAGTTTAATTATCAATGTCCTCTTAGTTAGGGTTGAATAACCGGCGATCCCTTGAAAAATAAAGGAAAACGATAACGAACGATCGACGAATCCACCATCTTGCTCGATCTCAGTATAGCAGATTAAAGGAAAATGGGAACAGGGATAAAGACCGATGATCGGGGGAACTTCATCGGCAAAGTTTACTTTTATCGGGAGCAACGTGGGATTGAATTTCAATGTTATTACGGATAAAGAGAACACTATCGCAGCGGAGAGAGGTAAGAGGACGAGATCTTAGGAACTTTACGGATTTCTTCGGAATTTGCAGAACCATGTCCGTGACGCGAATTACAAAAGTGCGATATTATTTTGTAGCGTCGTCAGTTAAACTATCGTCTCAATATTTATTGAATATTAGTCCCATGTTTCTAATTTTTTCCTGTAAAATTATCTTTAACTCTCTAAATATCTATATATCTTTATGTCTCTATATAATCTATATATCACCAAAATATACTTTAGTATATTATAATATAATATATGCATGTGGTGCATTATATGCATTTGTTGCATTAAATTAAAAATATAAGGGTATACTTTGAAAAATTACTTTTAATATTATAATTTAACATACCATATATAAAGACATAGCTGTATTTTTCGAGAACACAACTGTGAAAGATGTATGTACATTTCTTGCATCTAGTTATTTCATAAAGACGCAAAGTTCGCCGCAAAGTCGTCCTTTGGGCAGGTCGCAGATTTACGGAGATACAAGATCTTGGAGCAACCTGAGAAGCCACAATTAATGATACCGTTAATTTAATTAATGTTCCCCGTAAAAACCGCGGCCAGTTCCGCTTGCTCAACTTTATCTCATAACAAGAAAAAAACAAATATTGCTTAAGGCAAGAAATATGAATGAAATAGTGCAGTCTCTCTCTCTCTCTCTCTCTCTCTTGTCTAATTCTTCTTGATTTTAATTATATAATGATATATAATTTTAATATTGGTTGCAAATATATGTGTATAATATTACATACATTATACATATATTTATCGTATAAAGGAAAATTTATTTCGATTTATGTAATTTAAAAACTTTTGTCAGCATTAATAAATTTAAATTAAATTTTTTCAATGTACAATTACTTAGAAAAAATAATTTTCTTCTCGTTAAACTTTCATTATTTATATGTATAATATACACATAGATACATATACCTGCGATGAAGAATGTATGTATGTTACTGTAATTATAAATAATGAGAACCTAATTACAAGAAGATGATTTTTTAAGTAATTTATGTTGAAAAATTTAAATTTAAATTTTTAAATGCTGACAAAAATTTATTTTTAAATTATATAAATTTAAATAAATATTATTTTACAATTTTTTTATATAGTATTTAATTCCATTAATAAGAAATTAAATATTAAAATATTATAAAAGAAAATATCAGACGAATGAATTCTTGAAAGAACCATTTTTTAGCAATGCAATTATTATGAAACGTTGGTTACGTCTCTGACTAATCATAATTAGTATAGGATTATTATTTCTACCAAGTAATTTATGTTCTTCATACATTCTATACTAAATTGTATAACTGTAAACACTTGTCAAAAATCCATCGTTAATATCTTTCTAAAATTCTATCCGCTCCGTTGATTTATCGTTTTACATTAAAATTACTTTTACGCATTTTATGAAACAAAATTGATTGAGCTAACCTATATGTATACGTCTTCTCTTCGTTCTCTTCAAGGATTACGAGGGGAACAAGATGGCAAAGCAGCAAGCTAATTCGTTTCCACGAAGGAAATTATGTGGCTTTGCATGCAGGTGCAGCACGCCCGCCGATTACTTCCGACCAATATAATAGTTCAACGTTTTTTCACGATACTTTCGATCCAGTAATTTTAACGTTTGCGACATCCGTGTTGCTTAGTTACATGATTAATGGACTAATTTTCACACGTTATTTTAATGTTAGTTAGTATATTGACGCTTCATCAAGAAGAGTAGCATGAAGAACAAACACTATCTAGCGGGAATTGAAGAATGATATGGATTTTAATTTGTTTATCAATCAGCTGTGTGTGAAGTGCACAAAAAAACTCAACAAATCTGAACTTCCTATACATATACTTTATTTTATTAACTTCATTGATCTTTATATCATACATATATTGCTACTATATTGAAAATCAATATAATAAAATAAAATTATTAATATTGTTGATCTGTGTAAAATTTGTCGAATTAAGAGATACGATAAAAATAACAATGATTTCACACATGAGAATTAAATATAAAGATAAAACAAAGAACTGAAAAATATTCTTTATGTTTGAATTATAAATCTCCATGAAATGTGGTGCAATATCGGCAACTTTATCTTAATATTTATAAGGCTGAAAATCATAGCAAAAGTATGAACTCATTAAGCATTGCAAAAAATCACTCGTAAACTTCTAGTCATCCAAAAACCTACATAATTAAAAGATGCATACGTGCATTCCCGTTAATGACTTTACGACGGAAACGGAGAGTTGACGACGAGTTGTTCGACGAAAACCGAGTGATATATTGCTCGGGCATCCTTCGTACTCTTCACAATACTCGCTGCAAGTTTTAAAGCAGCACATCTAAATCTATCTACTATTCTAAATTTTAATTTTAATTTAATAAAATAAAATTTTAAATAGGAATTAAAAATAAGATTTTTAATCTGCACACACATACACACACACACACACACACACACACACACACATATATATATACTCTATACATATAAATCTAATTTATTGTATAAAATATTTTTACTTTTAATATTAAATATATTCTAAATTAATCTTATTACATATATATATGTGTGTATATATTTTAAAATTAAAACTTTTTTAAATAAAAAATATTAATTTTTACATTAATTTCAGATTAGAAAAAATTATCAAATTTTTAAAAAATAAGTATCGAAAGTATTCTACGTGTTTCCTTGATTTCTTCATTAAAGGAAACATTAAAAAAATATTTCATACGCAGAAAAATAACCCGATAAACTGTCGTCTATGCTGGAGTAGATCGCAACTTCAGGTACGCTCTTGGATACACTGCGACCGATCTCGAAAGTTTAGCAGACTCCGGCCTCGGTGTTAACTCGACGGAGTTACGATACTAGACTAGAGAGGCTCGTATTTAGAGGTTTAATGGGATCGGGACAAAGTGGCCGCGGGAATTCCGCGGGAAAATAAAACGAGAGAGCGCGCGGCGCGAGGCGTGCAACTTTTAAAACTACGGTGGGAAATGTAATTTACCGTCGATGCGCGCAGCCCGCGCGACAATTCCCCTGCTTTGTTCCTACGAGTTAATTACATGCAAACAATTAATTAACCACGCGCCCATCGGCGTACCGTTTGTCTTCGCGAATGCTCTACCGAACTGCCCTTCGCTACTTTGGATTATTTATCGCTGGTGATGCAACTAATTTTCGCGACGAGTTACTTCAACTAACTCGAGTGTAACTAATTTTCTCTCTCTCTTGCGCAGGCTTTAAAACAAAAATCTACAGGAGAACGCGGGAGTAAAATATACTAGTAGAGATAGCTTTGCAGTCATTTGAAATAATCAAAGTGAAAATTTTGCGTAGACTACCAAATTAGTTGTACAACACAATCAGCAAAAATTTCCTGCATGTTGAAACATACTAAAGAATACCGTTTTAAATTCTAAATAATACAATTATACATTATTTATTCACTATAACGGTGACTTTCAGTGCCGCATGTGGTACTGTCATAGATTATGTTCATAATTAAATAAATTTGTTCTATTATATAACCACAACATTCCATTTTTTTAAATTTTTTCCCGTGAAATAACGACTTTTTAATACAATTTTGCTCCAACAGCATAAAATAAGATATTCTATTTATATTTATTTAAAACTGTGTAAACTTTTATATTAAATAAATACGTAATACTCTACAAAGTAATATTATTATTATATTATGGTTTAATACACGGAAGATAAATAAAAAAAGAAATAAATATATATTTCTATAGCTTTTGTGTTTATCGAGTCTTTCAATTAAATCTTCCATCATACATCTCTCTATTTCAAAGTAAACGTTTATTGTGTCATTTTATTACAGCAAATTTAGTTTTTCGATTTAAATGGATCTGGTTTTGCTTATCCCTATACAATATTATACGGTTTAACGAGGATATAGAACTGCGAGAAAGATTAATAAGTAAAAAGCAAATAAATACAAAACTGTTAGTTCACTTACCGATTCTCCATTTTGCACTGGCCTTCTTGAATCTTGCAGTTGGTTTTAAAATCCTTAAAGATCTGATTGCAAGGTTTCCCACGTAGACAAGTATTAAGCGCATGATTGCATGTCGGCAATGCGTCTATTGGATATGGGTCTTTGTCTGCAAAGATAGTCATCGGAGAAAGTAAGTGAATGTTTTTCTTCAAAGAGTTTGTTAACATTAATAAGACAAATGGAACTAAATTATTGATGGTTATTTTATCCTTGTTGTTTACCAAACGTTAAACAAGGATGAAATAATACGTCACGCGCAACATATACGCTTTACGTAACAAGAGCGTTATTTTTAACAAGGAAATTATTTATGGCAAAACGAACCCACACAACTTTCTGTATATATAAAATATATAAGTTTAATAAGAATATAAACTGATAAATAAAAGGCACAGGCGCGTACATAAAGTTCTTTATATAATTCGTAAACAATTATGCTTTTCTAAAGAGTACAGCACTCAAGGTTTCCGGTTTCCGCTCTCTTTAGCCCGAGTATTATTAGTATAGTCATTTTTTTAAGTAAAGACGTAAGCAATCACTCGGCGCGTTTTAATTCTCTAAGTAAAATCATTATTGTTAACAACATTTGTACGTTTATCAATTATTTTCGTATTCATTAGTTTTTAAGAAAATTATAAATATGGATTTAATCACAATTTTTTAAGAAGAAGTAAGTAGAAGATAAAGAAATGGTAAACGGAATAAGCAGTAACTATGACAGTATTTCTGAAAAATAGAGATTTTAATTAATGTTACGTATTTTTTATACGGGTTTTTATCGAATTATATATATTAAAAGGCTTATATATTTAAGAAATATTTATTAAAAAAGAAAAATTGTATGTCAAACAATATCCGTATAAAACGATACCTACAATATTTTATAACCAATTCACTCTTTCGCGCCAATAGAGTGTAAAAATACTCCAGGTGATCCGGGTTAAATTCCTTTCGCAACTTTCTGTTTAAGGAGATTCTAAAGTCGTTTTACCGATTCAATAGAATTTACACACATACGATTTACGTGCCATTGATACATTACTCCGCACTACTATATCAACACTTATCACAAAATCTTTAACTTTACATAAAGAAATACGTCGGCTAACAAAACTAGAAGAAATCGAGAAAACTCTGGCTTCTCCGAGAACGTGTTATACGTATATCTTGAAAATTATCACAAACGTTTATAATTATGCGTATTACGCGAGATCTCTACTAATCTTTCTAAAATTTTCATAATGGCGTGTCTTAAAGCTTTTGAAATTTTAAAAACCTATCACTTCACTTCTATTTTACTTTATACACAGCATACAATTTAGCCCGCGGTACGCGAGCTGATTTTTTGCGGCCTCGCTTCCTACTTCCGCTTCTCTTTTTGAGGCACGAGAGCGAATTTAATCTCATTAAGTGCCGAAGCTTCCTGGTTTGGTAGCTGGCACCGGCTGCTCCGCGGGGTTTCCATTATCCGCCGCGCTTTCGTATGACCGGCTTTCGGCAAGATAAATGTAATTAAGCCACGATCTGGAGTGGCTTAATTGCACAACTTATTAGTTGGTCGAATTACATTTATGCGTGTTCACGATTTATCCTGATCTATGTAACTTGATGATCAATAAAAGTCTATTTTTTATTGTATGTAATTGATTTAATTGTTAGTATATAATTAATAAGGACATTGGAGAAACACAAAACATCAATTGCTTTATTATATTATTGTAAATATCAACATTTCTTTGTTCAATTTTAAAATGTTATATTAATATTCTAAGAATTACAAAAATTACATATAAATATTACTGAGATAATACTAAACGACGCTCTGGAGATAAAATAAGATATGAGTTCTATCTGATTCCGTTCTACTATCTAAACGTGTTTATACGCGTCCGAACTGTCAATTATTTATAAGGGATGAGATGGATAGGTATACGTGGGTATAAGAAACGAGTATAAGGGAGATATCCTCGTTTCGCGTAGACAGTCGTGCGCCTCTAAGCAGGAGGGAAGATGGGTAGACCTCGTTTTGCATGAAAAGTCGTACTTCTCTAGGCTGCGTTCGGAAACGCTACCCTGAGGATAGTGCCGGGTAAATGGTGGTGGAAGCAAAGTGCACCTCGGGTACGAATAGTTTTCGAACGGCAAATAAACAAAAAATGACGCAAACGTGCGTTTAGGTTAAAAGATACAAGTAAACCATAAATTTATGGCTTACCTATCATATCATAACTAGGAAATTTCTTTGGGGATCATATTCAGATAGATATTCAGGCGTTGAAAGGAGAGAAAGTTTAGATATTGACAATAAGTGTAAAAAGTACAATCTCACTGTAAGTTTTAAAAGTGTACATTAATTCAACCATAAAAAATATCGCCACAGTTCGAAAAATTCCGCCATATACAAATCTACTCGTATTCACCCTGAGGTGGAAAATTTTCTTCCTGAGGTGCCACCCAATAGAGTTTGCGAACAGTTTCACCGCTATCACTCTGGTATAACCCGAATGTTGCCGAACGGCCGTGAGCTCACCCGAGTGCACCCGGGTGAAGTTTTCGAACGCAGCCGTACTCGGTTCGCTCCATACCTTCACTTCTGTCTAAAGTCATTTCCACTCAAAGTAGAGACATAATTTTCAAGTTTGTGACTGTTAATAACTTTTTATCGAATAATGAGCGATAACTAGAATTTGTTGGATATGTTAAGATCGAGATCGTTGGAGTTTGTCTCTTAAGATCAGAATTTTTTACTGGCAATATATACTTTAACTCTAAATATCTCAGAAACTATAAGAGAGTACCTAGACCATCTAGTTGTTAACGCAAAGTTATTCAGGATCATAACCTTAATAACATTTATCAAGGTCAAAGTCATTGTCCTAGCTGTGTAAGTTTTTGTAAAGAATTCCCACACACAATATTAAATTAAAAAATACAAAAAACCTATTTTTTTTAACAATGGTACACGGAATTTTGTTAATTTTCATTTGTTTCTTTTATTCTAATTCAGTTTTAATTAATAACTGCAAATATCTTTCACATTTTGTGTACATACAATTTGCATTGATTGAACAAACGAGAATCTAATTATCACTGCAAAACAACAATATATTTAAGAAGCGGACTGTACTTTCACTATATACGTTTTATAAATAAAACATTTTCTTCTATTCTTTACACATTATACACAAACATTATTTAAATTTTACTTTAGTACATTCATTCGGATTATTAAAATATATGACGGATATATACATAAGATTTAATTTTACGTTATTGTCTCCTTCAGGTGATGCCGGACACGCTTGTTTTATCGATAATACAGGCGGGTCCAGCATCACTTTAAACGCAATTAACATTTAATAAGATCAATTATGAAATTAAACAACCTCCATTTCAATTTTAATTTTCGAAAAGGTTTACATTTATATAAATATATACAATATTAAGTTAAATTAGAAAACAGATTGATATATTATATTTTTATTCCAAAAGTACTATATTAGCTAAATCAAAAAACCGATAACGAGACAAATATAAAGTGTAGTAGACTATCGATTCACTCCAGTGAACTCAAAAGTAACCCAACCATCGGTATTAGAACTGCAAAGTGCTTTCCCGAAGACAACGATTCTCTCCGGGACGAGAAGTGGGTTGAAGATGCAAAAAAGTAATGGATAGCAAATGAAGCGAATGAAAAGAAGCGCATCGGGAATTATCCATGAATCATTTGGAAAAGCTCAAAAGACTCGGTGGCGCGCATGAGTGAGCCCTTGGGAATATCAACAATGAAGCCAGTAGGAGCAAAGTTACATAGAAAGGTGGGGGCGAAAATATCGTTCCGGGCTTTTGTTTCGCTGGTTCGCTCTTAAGAAAAACGTTCGAATCGCACCTACAATCGATTTGTCCTGAGTATTACTCAGAATTTTGACAATAATGCAAGTTTTACAATGTTGACTATAAGCAATTTTATTTATATATTTGTAACTGTTAAATTTATATAGTGTCAAATTACATAAATTGAGTCAGTTTTATCATACCTATGTAAGTCACCACTACTCATAATTCAAATAATCCTATCTTTGTGATATTCGTCAATTTTATTAAAATTCAGTACATTTGTAGGACAGTCAAAAATAATAGGCACGTATTTTTTTATGTGCAATTTTAAAAGTAAAAATTACCCTATATTTATATAAATAAGTGATTAACTCATTCATTTAAGGTCAATTATTAGAATTATTTTTGAATTTCAGAATTATGACCAAATGTATTCATACTGAAAATTCAATATCGAAATTATATAATTTGAAATGGCAGATCCAATATGACGACCTAATTTTAAATCTTATTTTAATCTTTGGGTGGTTAATTTTAAGTCTTATCTTGCACTTTGCCGAAAGCAACTATGAAATAGTAAGCATCTTTCCTTGGTTTTTGTCTTTTATTTAAAAAATAACGTTTTATTAAAAAATTTTTTGTTATCAAATTTTTTTCTTTTTCAACTATATATAATACTTCTCACGTCTCGTTTATGACTATTCTTTTTTTACTTTTTATATTCTTTATAGAAATAATGTGCAAAAAAAATTTCTTTTATACAAAGAATTTATACACCAAGCACATGTTAAGACTACTACATTATTACATAGTATAATACATACACTGCGTCACAATTTTAAAAATAATAATCTACGGGATTATTAAACTTAAGTAGTTTCTCTTTAAAATATCCACTTTTGTGTACCACAAATATTTAAATAAATTTATAAACCAAGAAACTGTCTGTACAATAATATAGTAATATCATTTTTGTAAACAGTATAAAAAATAATTGAAAAAACATAAGCAAGGCGCAAGAAATATAATAAAAAAACAGATAGATATATAAATTAATTATTTAAAAAAAAACATAAAAGTATGAATCTTGAATGATGAATCTTTTAAATAATAAAACAAAAAATATAAGAAATAAAAAATAAGGATATTGACTCTCAAATCCACGTTAGTTATTCCTGAATTTGATAAAAAAACAAAATAAAATTATTTATATCAAATCATGATATTGGAACTGCCAAATTTTGAATTGTATAATTTCTGTATTAAATTTATTTTCAGTAACATAAAAACTACTTATTATATCTCAAAAATTCAAAATTAACCTTAATACCTGAGATGAAATGGAACGTATTAATTACTCATTTATTGTAATCTAATAACCTAGGTAAACTAAGACATTTGTGATTAAAAAGTAATACAAAAATAAAACATCAATATTCAAAAGTAGGACAAAAAGGAGGACATTTTAAGTTAAATTGTAGTACAAAATAAATAGTATATATTTAAATTCAAAGATAGAAGAAAAAAAGTATTACATATTTAAAGATGCTAAAAACGATAAAAGTATGTATTTAATACCCTGATAGCAAAATGTAGTCAATTTGCGCACAAATTGGCAGCAAACTCGATCAGATCAAAAACAATATCTGGTAATACAGACTCTGTCTACAATTTGTTGCCAATCTGTAATCAAAAATTGTCAGCAGGCTCTGCTTCAAATCTGCTTTCGCAGGCTTTGCTATCAGGAACAAGTATTAAGTATTAAATATGCTATTAGCAAGAAAACAACTTTATATAATAATACTTAATAATTCTCAAGTATTCTATCAAAGGAACATAATAATCATCTAATGATTAGCTTATTATAAATTTCATATGTGATGAGCTTAATAAAACTTTCAGCTTTCTCTCTCTTTCTTTTAAAATGAATATTAAAAAGAGTACAGCATGGACATACTAAGAACTCGATCGGACGTCCTCGGACGTTTAAAAAAATGCATTTCTATGAATATCTGGTCACCTCATCACTTATAAGTAAAAAGGGTAATTTTTACCCTTAAAATTGATAAATATTAAATGTAAGATTATTTGTAAGATAATAATGTTGGAAAATTTAATTTGAATAAGTGACGTGTATTGACTCAAATTTAGTTTATTAGTTACTGATTGTAAGTGCATATGTTAACATAAATACTGTTTACTTTGAAACACAGCAATTCGACTGGAATTAGATCAATTTGATGTGTTTTTTATTAATTAAATTTTGTATTGAAATAATACATTTTGTCACACTTGGTTAAAATTATAACAAAGAGTTATTTAACTTAAGGACTTGATTTGATCCTTTAATATTTAACAGTGCAAATTGGATATTCTGAATTCTTGTTACTACAAGCCCCGGTTAGAAAAGAATTAAAAATATATGTTGGAAATATATTGTATAATCAAACTGTCAAACTATTGCGGGTAACACACATCAAAAAATTGTACAAGCCATATATGCATGTAGATATGTAAAACTAATAAATAAATAAACGAAAGATCAACTTTATTTCATCGCAGATGTGGATTCTTACCTTTCCACTCCACGTAGTCGCATGGGTGGTCGAACAGGAAGTTCTGGAAGCTGTTGCAGTCCGGATCGACATGCGGCTCCCTGCAGAGGCACGTCGGTCGGAAGAAAGTGAAAGCCTGCAGGGTGCGCAGAGCCGCCTGACACTTTTTCACCGTCACCGTCGAGCATGCCACTGTAACCGCGAAATTATTATTAAAGCGATGCAACAATGTTTCGGCCGGCTGACAAATAGCACGCGTGTGTTTAGCACGCGATATCGCGCGCAAATTGACTTGACAGTATGACGTATAAGCCACGTGACTAATAGCGTACCAAATATAAGTTGTTCTATTATTTGATAGAACATGTAAAATACTCTAACCATTTGTCGTTGGGCTTATACGCTACACTTATGCTTCTAAATTAGTACATATATGTGATGAACCTTAAACCGCGAATGTGCGAGCGTGAAAAATCGACTATAGGATAACGTATTATCCTCGCGTAAATATTATTTTTTTTTTGTGAGAGCGAATCCATCCTGCAGATTGTTGTAAAACGTGATGACGTGAGATCTCCATGGAACGATTAATTTCTCCATCCGTACGCGTTCATTCCTATTTCGACATTGATCTGACCATTTTTATACCGATAACAATAAAAAATCATGGAACGCTCAAACAATTTGTTAAGCTGCTGACATTTTCGAAGGTTATATTGGAATAGAATTAACAAATAACACACACGCGCGCATGAAAACGAGTGAAACAGATTAAAACTTATGTGATATAATTAAATAAATGATTCGTTTAAAGATTTTTTGGAGAGAATAAAGATACTGCTTCTACATGTGATATAAACATAAAATATCATTTGTTATTAAGTCTAGACTAACAGTAGGTAAAACATGCATAATTAGAGAAAATTTAATAAGTATAAATGTAAAACGCAGACATAAAAAATTTATATTAACGATTTTATCAAATATATGTATATATGCTTACAATTCTAAATTATTACATAGATAAACGTAATATTTATATACCATCGTATGTGAAATGCATCAAACTAGGAAGATGTAAATGCTACATTAAAACTTAATTAGGATTATCAAATATTTTCCGCATAGGTGTTCAATGTTAGATTCAAAGTAATTGTGAAATTCGAATGAAAGTAGCTATGCGTCTTAATGCATCTCTAATGAATGAATTCATCAACATTATCGTACGGCGTGATGTAGCGGCAACAATTATTTGCCACAGTACACATTTGTACATTAATCGCGCTGCAACTAGACGGTGACATTAATGTATGCCATTATTACGCAGTGTTCGTGCACGATATGGTACACACTTAATATATTTATCATAGTCAGTCGACATTCTTAACTTCAAAAGGTATATTATATTTATCGTTAAAGATACAAAAAGTTTTATTTCCAGTTACAAAATTAAAATCGCTAAAATATTGCAACTAGACATGTACAAGACATTATAAAATTTGAATATTACAGAACTTACAAAGGTAAACGTTTGATCATATTATGGAGAGAGAAAAATTCTGTTGAAATAAAACCTTGACTTTACATATCTGCAATTACAATCTTTTCAGAAGAAGAGTTTACGAAAGAAAATTCATTATCTAATTGCAAAATCTCTTGTCATTTAATTTAACTTGAAAGTTAACATAACGCATTTAATTGAATTAAATGAGTGCTAATAATTCCTACATGTGTACTTTCTCCTAATTAATTCGCAACACTCGTTTATATACATATATAATTATTTATCCTTACATATTTATTATTTTTCCGTATAAGATTTCTTAATCTTCAGCTTTACGTTAATATAACGATAATGCGTTTCTCACATTTTACACATGTTAAATGATTTTTTTATAATGTGCACCATTTCTCTGAGTGCGATTGAAATAATTTCGATGTCCTAAATATTTTCTTTTAAAAGCCGTTTCTAGCTTCATTTAAAATTCCGGTACTCGCAGCTTAATTAGTACAATGTCGTTTGGAGAAAGAATGGAAGTGAGAGGAGCCTTAATTACTGTCCCGAGACATCGTAAGTTTCGTAATAACTGAGCCAGACTATAAGTAATGAATCCAGATGTCGGCGTTACCGTAGGTACCAACATCGTCGTCGTCGTCGCCAAATGTCAGACAGAAAAATGACGGAGCAGTAGCGCGAAAGTTTCAATTACATTCTGATACTATCATCTGTCGCTTCCCTCTTCAATTCATTCCGTCAGTTCCCCAATATTCAACTCCATCCCGATCCGTCCCGTGCACCTACGTCCCTTCATTAAACACGGAGCAAGGCACTTAAAAGAGAATATCTTTGGTAGTTTGGAACTTACAGACAAAAAAGTTTCTCCAAGGAGTTTCAGGGGCTAATATTGTGACAGGAGAATAATCTCTCTGGGTCAACTGTTTCGAATTTTCTTGAAAAGAATACTAATTTACATCGGTCTTCCTGCAAGATAGATTATGCGATTTCCAACACGGTGACTAAATTGGAAGATCAGAAACTGACAAATTTATTAATTAAGATTTTAATAAGGAAACAGTATCTTTTAGTAGATTTCCAATGTAGAAATCGAATTCGGAAAGTCAAAAATATCTGGATTCACGAGATTTACAAATAAACAATTAAATAAAATGTAATAGGAAACAGAATTAAAAAAAGTATTATATATATAAATATATTCTTATTAATAATAACATTAATAATATTCCATTTAAATGGCAATTCATGACAGAATTAAAAACATCTTTTAGGAAAGAAAAGTATTTACAACAATAATCTCTTATATTGCATAAGTAATAAAAGTTTTAAGTATTTTAGCATTTGTAACAAAAAATATATGAAGTCTCAAACTAATTTTCTGTCTCAAACTTTCTATCTTTTCATTAATTAGTAATCCATTAGCAGTTTCAAATAACTATTTTGATTTAAATTTAGATAACCTTGATAATTACTTTTCATAATATTATTCTCTTGATAGTTTCTTGAACAAGTCAATCTGTTATACATATATAATAATTATATTAAATCAAATATTGTATTATACAAACTTTCTGTGTTGAATAGCAAGTAATATAATTTTACGAAAATGCAAAGTTGCGTTATATTAACGGCAATAAGATTAGTAACACTGGAAAGATATGCCATTTCTGTATGCAGCTACAAATAGAAGTTATTTAGAATATTCTCTGTGATTTAGTGCATTTATTAGACTATTATATATGTAAATTTTCATTAAGTGTCTAACATAAATGTTCTAGAGATCGAACATTTAAGAATTAATCTTTATTAAAAATATTTTTTTTTTTATTGAAATAGTTTGTATTTGTTGTATGCATAAAAAATTATAATTTAAATAAAAGGAATAAAAAAATAACAATTCTAGATTTGTAATTAATGAAATATTTGCAGATATCTTCATACATGTGTATCTATATATCAATTTCTGAACAGCTTAAAGTGTCTATATCTCAAAATTCGGACATGACTTATCCCAATATTTGATACCTCGCGGCGGCGCGGCGGTGTGATAATCAATTTGTTTATACAGGTTGCGTCACCAAAATTCGAAAATTGAACAATATCTTTAAACAAAATGTTTTAATGAAAAATTAAGTATTACAAAAAATTCTTTTACGTGGCACTTGGGGGATCCCTATAGAGCATAATTATTCGATATATCTCCCATTAGCTTGAATAACGGCCTTTATTCTCGATCTGAAGCGTTCCCGCGCACGCTGTAATGACGCGCTGTCCATGACAACGAATGCTGCCTCAGTAGCGGTTCTTAATGACGTCACATTAGAATGCCGAGACTTGTTAGTGACCCTTTCGATTGACGCTCCATACGTAATAATCCAAAGGATTTAAATCTGGGCTATTGAAAGGCCAGAATTCCTTGGACCAAAGTATATCGACATTGTTTGAGAGCCAATTTTGAATCAAATGACTCGTATAAGCCATGGACGGTGCATCGTCCTATTGAAAAACATATGGTCTTCCGGATGTATAATCGAAAATTTGTCGAAATAAAAACTAATACGATTGTAAATAATATTAAAAAATAGCTGCAACGCAAATAGTAACAAGCAGAATAAAATGAAACAGACGAGAGAACGTTTCCAACGAACAATACCAATCCATTATGTCGTTAGAAAAACTTCAAATATAAACTGCGGTATATATTTAAAGAAATTAATAACAAAAAAGTATCAAGAAAATGATTTTAAATTGCAGAGAAATATACATTTTGTTTTCATTGTCAAATTATAGAAAATGAAATAATTAATAATTAAATTGTTGTAGTAATTTTCAATATTATTGTAGTGATATTTAATTTTTTCACTGTTTGATACTATTCTTATAGATTTCCAGAGAGCTTTTAGGAAATGTACATTTATTACGCGAAAGTGTGTTACGCACAGATGTGAACAAAAAAGCTAGGACGAAGCAAACAAACTATCAGCTAGGAAAGTCGGAAAACAGACTTTTCATTTTCGTGCAGCGAGCGCGAGGAAATATGTACGAGAGTACAGCTTTGAATTCGGCGCTCGACTATCACTTGCAGACGCGTAACTGCATCTGTTTTTGACGTATTTGTGTTTTCGAACAACTGTAATAATTGCAAAATTTATTACAATATTACATTGTTCATAATATTTAATTTTAACTTGTTCATTGAACAAAAGTGTTTTACAAACGCTATTGCAAAATTTATTTTACCAATATAACGATGAGTCCACTGTTTTCCATACTCACATTGCAACATATAATAGAAAACAAATAATATGATAAATGTCGAATATATAAATATAAAATAATGTGAAAGTAAAGTTTAAATAAAATAAAGTTTAGAGAAACTCTCTCTCTCTAACCTTAAAAAAAACCTTTTTAAAAAAAGAAAAAATATATGCCAAGTGCATAAAACAGGTATTGAATTCTTCTTAATCTAAAACGGATATGAAATAAATGTATTTTATTACGCAAAACACATAAGATGGACCGAAAATTGCTAAAATTGTCAATTGGATTATAGTAAAAAAAAAAAACTTGGCATTGACAATTTTTTAGCAACTTTCGGTCCATCTTATATGTCTTACGTAATGAAATACTTGGATAATTACATTTATTTCATGTCCGTTTTTGATTAAGAAGAATT